TAAATACATCATAACTTGTGGGTAGAGAGGGGCCTTCAGAAGGATAGTCAGTGATATGAAAGCAATTCTGTACATGAGTTAAGCATACTTGCTGCATTGTCTCTGCAGATTCTATTTTTGTTTAAAATATTAAAATGTACGTTAGCAAAAATGGGTGGATTTTCAAATAAAATGCAGCTTCCACAGAATTTTGTTACGGTATGAACGTCTGAGGTGCTTTTCTTTTGCTGCTTGAAAATGTGCACTGATAATTGCATTGTTTACTTAATAAAATACCAAATGTATTTGATATGTGCATACTGTATTGCAGGAGGAGAATGACAGTGGTTCTCATCTGTTCTGTTGGGTCTGTTGACTGAGGTAGATCTGCTTTCATAGTGCTTGGGTCTCTGATCCCTCTGGAGATCCCGTGTGGGGCTGTGGACCCGCGGTTGGAAATGATGCTGGTTTTGCTCTGCTGTGGGGATGATGTCCTGCTAACCTTTCCTGGTGACTCATAGTGGCTGTTAGTGAGCACAGATGCTGCCCAGGTTGCACCTTCCTGATGGAGGCTTTGCTACTAAACGTTGCTTACAGTTCACTCTTCAGGAACAACTAAATTGGAGTGACAGATCTGATTGTTTTTCCCATTTAACTTGGCCGAGATGAATGTTTGCTTTCAGTATTGCTGGAATTACTGCAGGCTTTGTCCCTATGCCTCTTGAACACTGAGAGGCACGGGGCATCCACCACCTCTCTGAACAGCCTGCTGCAGGGTTTGGCACTCTCACCCCTTTTGGTCACATGCAGTAAATTGATGCTGGCAGTACCTCAGGAAACTTCTGCTTGTACGTGACTGTGACATCAGCTGCTCTATCCAAAGCAGCCTGTTGGCTTCTAGCTGCCAAACAGCACCTCAGCAAGGAGCAGCTGGTGAAAACCTGCATCTCCTGTTGAATGAGAAGTACATGTCTTCAGAGCTGGTCGAAATGTTAGAGAGATGTAAATGAATTGCAGTTTGAAGGCCGTGACGTGATTGAGATCAAGATTGTGGCAGAAAAAATGAGAACGAGGTACAAAAGCACTGTGAGAGATGGTAAATGCTGATGGGACGGGAGGCTGACAAGGTAATGTGATGGGTAGTGGGGAAATGTGCTGACTGCAGAAGAATCAATGTTAATAAGATCATATGTAAATAAGAGCTTTCTCCTTGGTCTGCTGGCACTCTTCTGACTTGACCTTTGTAGCTTTTGCATGCTGCAGGGGGGAGAGCAGAAACAGCCCTGACATCTTCCACCTAACTTGCCAAGCAAGAAAATACTGTGAATTCCTGATGAAACATCTGATGTTGTCTTGTGTAAAAACTGAGTTAGAAGGGAATGTGTGATGTCCTGGCTTGGGCAGGAGTGGGGGGAGAGCCCCATACAGCTGTTCTGAAGCTGTACTGTACTGCCAACCCTCCCTGCCTGAGAAAATGCTCCATTCATTTCACCTGGGGGAGGTGACTTACTCAAGGTAACAAATCAGGCTATGACTTAGATAACACATTTCTTGTTTTTCTTGCTTCTCTGTTGACGAAATTTCCTGAAGCTAAGATTGGGAAGCCTTGGAACAGCCAGACAGCTTCCTTAGAAGTTGTGGAAGCTGATAATGCCAATGAAAATGTGTTGAATGCAAGCATATATTTGTAGTTCTGTGGTTGCAGTGTATGAGAACAGAGGTTTTATCTTTACGGTGTAGATCTCTGCTTCATTCACAGTGTGTCTGCTGAACTTCCCCATGCCAGCTACAGCAATTGCTCCAGTATTGTTTTTGCCAAAAAGCACGATTGGATACAATTGCAGCTGCTGGCTGCCCTGCAGTCATTAGAAGTGAAGAAAAGGTGAGCACCCTGCTGAATCCCAGCTTCCCAGGGCTCAGGGGAGCTGCTCTGTGGGTCAGCTGTAGGAACACTTACTGGTCTCCTGCAGCATGTGCTGCCCCAGAAGACACGCAGTGCCTGACATACACTGCAGAGCACGAGCTCTGGAACACAGAGTTACAAAGAAACATCTGTACTCACACAGTGGATTCAAAACCCAAAGGAAAGCCTTTTTCAAAGGACCACTCAGCACTGAACCATCAGAGGCTTATGATGCTAATGCCATTAGTTGCTCTTGCCTGTCACTGTAGTGTAACTTTTCAGTCCATTAGCTTCTGCCTTGACCTTATTCTGGCAAGCTCCTTTTAGCCCACAGAGCAGTGTGTGCAAAGCCCTTTCTCCCAGAAAGCAAACAAATGAGTGCTGCAGAGCAAGTCCTCTGCCCTCTTTTCTCAATATGTGCAGGTCTGCACCTGCAGAGAGATCACTGTTACATAACCTCGCTGCATCAAAGGCTGCAAGCCTCCCAACAAACCAGGGGAGAGCTCTTGCTTACACAGCCAGGCTACAGAGCTGTGTAATCCAGTTGCTTTCCCCTGTAGGGAAGTTGCTCAGAGAGGGTTCAACCCAGCATGAACACTGGTAAGCAGTATACACCGTGTTTTGCTTTTTTAGGCAGGTAGTGGATTTAGCTCCAGCTCATTTACCACATGCTCATGTGCAGCTTGGGCTGTGCCTGTGTTTCTTTGACTCAACTTTGAATTTCCAGTGAACACTTGGAAGGTTTTTCCTGTTAAAACTACACTGTGTTTTTAGTTGTGTGCCAGCTAAAAACAAGTCCAGCTGAACAGAGGCTTTGCTTTTGCTACCATTGTGGGGCACGTGGATGCTTTTCTGCATCTTGTAGCCCAGTGAGTGTCCTATGCTTGTCTTGGGCAGCAGAACCACAGTAAAACAAAAACTATCTGAATGATGGGAATTTAAAGGTGATCATACTGCCAAAGGATATTGATCTCTGCTGGCCCATGGTTCACCAAGTGTTGATCAACTCTCCCAGGTCCATTTCTCAGCACAGCTTTCCAGCCATTCTGCCCCAAGCCTGTAGCATTGCCTGGGATTGCTGTGGTCAAAGCGTAGCACTTGGTCTTATTGAACTTCATCCCGTTGGCCTCAGCCCAGTGATCCAGCCTGCCCAGGTCCCCCTGTAGGCCCTTCTTATCCCCAGGCAGATCAACATTTCTTCCCAGCTCGGCGTCATCTGCAAACCTATCCAGGATGCGCTCAATTCCCTCATCAAAGTCCTCAGTAAAGAAGAGGACAGGCCTCAGCACTGACAGCTGGGGTTCACCAGCTGGGTGTAACTCTGTTCACCGTTGGGTCCCAGCCCTTCAGGCAGTTCTTTACCCAGCAAAGAGCACAGCAGCCCAAGCCCTGGGGTTGCCACTTTCTCCAGCAGAATACTGTGTGACACAGAGTCAAAGGCTTTGCTGAAGTCTGGGTAGACAATGTTGACACCTTTTCCTCATCTGCCAGTTGAATCACCTGATCCCAGGAGATCAGGGTGGGCAGGCAGGACCTGCCTTGCATGCACTCATGCTGGCTGGGCCTCATCCCCTGGCTGTCCTGACCTGCTGTATGATCTCACTCAATGATCTGTAAATGCTCTTTTGCTAAAAGCCTAGCTGTTTCCTATGTAAAAGCCTCACAAGGCTTTATATGCAAAGCCTATAGAAATCAAGGGGATGTGAGACACTTCACTGAAGATGCTTGCATCTGGCTTTGCAGGCTGCTTGTGGTTTATGCCCTAATTAACATGTTTCAGATTTCTTTTTAGCTCCCTCTCACTCACACAGGCACTTATGGTTAAAACCTAAGCAGTGATTTCAAGATGCAAAGTTATTTTTTCTGAGGTACAACTTGATGTTGTCTTGCAGAGTGCAGTGGATTATGGACAGAAGCACAGAGGTGAGCCCTGCATTAATGTAAATGCCCTCTGGGGAGCGGTGGGAAGAAGGCAAGGCCTTTCTTTAACAGCAAAGCTGTTCAACATAAGCCATATTCTAATTCCGTGACTGAACGAAAAGCCAGACTAACCACTGAGCAGAACTAATCTCTCTTTCAAGTAAGCTGTCTCCTACAGCTTGCGCTTCAATCAAAGAAAACCTCTGCAGCCAAAGGGAGCCTTCTGTTGGGCTGGAAACATGAGCACCTTGCAAGCATGGATCCACGTTCTCTGGCTACATGAATATTAGGGGTCACCTCAGTCTTTGCAGTAACTCGGTTACAGCAGAGGCGTCCAAACTCATCTACGTGTTCACTCTGCAACCCGAGGGAGATTCAGCCTGAGATGAATGAAGGCTCCTGTGTTTCTGTGCTTCTTTGAGAGCCAGGTTTCTGAGGAGCTGGTAGTCAGTTCCAAGCACCTTCGGCTCAAGGAGACACCTGCTGGGTGTAAAGGAAAGGATGAAAAATGGTTGCACTGAAGCACGAGATTAAAGTGAGACACTGCAATACTGTTTGCCCTGTGGGGAAGTCAGTGCATCGTGTCCAGGACACACAGAACAGGGAAAAATTCAGTGAATCAGTGTGCCAAGATACATTTAACAAACACCAGACACATAACAAAGATGAAGGCTTGCACAATAAACTTGGCTAATTTAAAGAAAATGATTTTATGCTGTTTTTCAAAATTTTTTAATTAATTGTCAATAATTGTAAGATGGTTAAGTAGAATTTTTGATGCAGATAGATAAAATGATTCAGACATTCCATTTCTAACAATATTTGAATTGTGCTTGGTTAACCTGGATTCTCATTTAGCAAAGTATTATATGTCCTATACTTGATGGCAGTCTGCATTCAGTGTCTGCTCAGGGTGCATCCCACATTTGACAGGCTGCAAGCAGGGGCCACGAAAGCTAAGTAGTAACTCAGATCATTTCTTAGCTATGCCTGCAGCTGCTTGGATTGAGAAGCCCAGGGCATGCACAAGACTCTCCTCTGTATCTAAGGAAAGCAGCTCTCCACATGCCTCGAATTAAACTTCAATATGTAGATGATTCAGGCTTTCAAAAATAGTTCCACAAAGTGCATTCATTCCTTGAAGGACAGAGCAAATCTTTAATGAACCAAGAATGTTACATTTCTGTGTTAACAGTCTTTGCTTTTTTGAAGACAAAAATGATGTGTGTAGTTGTTAAAACTTTATGAAGATCACAATTAGTTGTCAGTAGCAGCACTGCTTATAATCTTTAATGTGGCTTGACAGTGTAATGTAATAAACAGCTATAGCCACAAATACTTACAAAATAGGAAATACAGCAGAAATAGTTACTTCTCTGTATGCATCTCCGTATGTTCCTGATACACAGCTATTCTTACAATTTCCCTTCATAGCTCAGATTTGCAGCTGACCAACTCTCAGGATGACAGTTCTTGACACAGAATGACAAATGACATGTAGGTCTGTGACAGTGACATGATCCCAGCTCCTCCACCAAGTACTGTGAGCATACAGCACAGGTAGCAGCGCTGAGCCTGTCACAGCAAACAGGCATCTAATCCACACCTACCAGCCAGCTCCGAGCCCGATACATCTTACCAAGATTTGAAGGTCAGGCTGGGCTCTGTGCAGCTTCACCTGCTCTTGCTAGGGAACAGTTTCCAATAGCTCTATGAGCTGAATAAGTGCAAGGTGCATGTGGGCATCACGTGAAAGCAGCGTGTCCTCCCCAGGACGAGATACGATAGTGAAGTTACGATGATATGGATCAGTAAAGAGCTGATTAAGATATGAATCACATCTTTGTAAAAGATGGCTGATTCCATTAGCCAAGCTCCTGGCTAGCTCTATGAGTAATGACATTCAACAGTCTAAACACTGATTTCAGTTTTAGAACTATGTTACCGATTGTGTTGTCTCTTCCTAATCCAAGCTACATTTTATCATTACTGTGGTGGATTCATTTGAGTGGGAAATTACAGGCAGTTTGGAGAAACCATAAGAAATAAGCTTTTAAATGTCCAGTGACTTATCAGTTCTTATAAGCTGCTGGCATGTGTGTTACCTGAATACTCTCTATGCTCTACTGCTTTACTTTCATCCTGGAGAGATTCATCTTGCAAGCCAGCTGCCTGAGTAAGAAACAAATGCCTATGAAAGTAAAAGGGGAAAAAAAAAAAGTGAAACTCACATTAGAAGTCTGAATTCTCTCTAAATCCCTTGGTGCAGTGCCTTGGGGTGAGAGGACAGTGCCCTTTCTGATCAAGCACAAATGCAGAACAGCGCAATGGCTTAAAAATGCAATGGAGGCAGCCAGGTAGCTTAGCAGCTAATGCTGCTCATTGTTTGTTCTCAGTGCTTTAACTTCAGCTGTGTCCATGAGACTAAAAGAAAACAAATGTTACAGTCTCCAGTCAGTCCAAGACTGGAACCGCAGCTGGCAGCTCCTTCTTAAAAGCAGTTCAGAGTTGAGAGGAGAGAAAAATGTTCACTTCTGACTTAAGACGTCGAACTTTTTTGTGCAGTAGGACTGAAATGCCCGAGCTGGGAGTAGAAAATGAAGAGGAGCCATTCTGTTATCACACTGTGCTTTGCATACCGTTAGCAAGGACATTTGGAGGGTAAGTTCATTGCTCTGTAGGGAACAAGGTCAGTGGTTTAAGTATAAAGGAAAGTAATACTACAGACACATCTGTAGAGAAACTCACTCCAAGGCTTCTTCCTTACTGCTGCCCAGTACTTCTTGCAATCTATTTCACTTTGCAAGATTGCAAAGCCTCATATACTTGCATATTAATCCTTTAACATTTTACCAGCAATAAAAGAAAAAGCCATCACTTGCACTTGGTCTGAGAACCCGGTCTGAGACAGTGACAATAGAAGGAAACTATTTCAAGCCCTAACTGTACCTCCATTAGGAGAAAGTAATAACGTACAAAGACCCAGCCATAGTCAAATATTTCAGCTTCTTCCCTGAATTTTGGTATTTAGAAGGTTACAAGTTCACTGTTATCCTTTAGAGATGCAAGTCCCACACACAGTCAAATCCAGGTACCACACAACTAGAAAAACTACATTGCTTTCATTGCTGGAAAGCCCAAATAGAGGTAGGCCTTGTTTTTAAAAAGTGATAATGACCTCTGAGTCTGAAGGCATCATTTTACCTGGGTACTCTCAGGTTCTGAATTTTGTTATCCATCAGTTTTCTCACTAAACTGATATTTTCTTCTTCCAGGAGCTGAACAGAGGCTTTCAGATCTCTCACTTCCTTTCGGTACAGTTTAACCTTTAGACAATTAAATAATAGTAAATAAAAACAAAACAATGAAAGGTAATTTCAGGTAGTTACTAGGAAAGCTTTCCAGTAAGGGTACAGACTGTCTCAGCAGCACATGCTTAGGAAGAAAGCAGTTGTGTCAGCAACACTATGCACAGGGTGCAGACCATTTTCAGGCAAAAGAAAGGTCTCTGGTTCTTCTACATCAGAACCCTTTGCAGACACACGTGTGGGCAATGCAACCCTGCTAGCAGAACCTTCTCACGTGGCCAAATTGTTCTGGGAGAAACAAACTTTGGATTTGTCTCTTTTTGTCAATTTCACAACAGAACTTGGAGAGAGAAAAGCATTCTTTGCAGAGGGAAATTCAGGCCCTTGCTCAGCAAGTGTTCCTCTCCCAATTCCCATTCACACATAAAACTTTCTCACCCAGAATTAGTGATGCTTTCTGTCCAGGTTAGCCACTGTATGGACTACACCCCAGGTGCTACTTCCTTTTGTTTAATAATCATCCCATGCTCAATGAAGTTACATTATCTGCAGAATACCAGCTGTTCAGTTCCCACAATTTCTCGCAATTTACCTGAAGTCCAAGCGACTTCTTTCCTCCTTCACTGGGAAGCAAAGTGTTTAATGGGGTGGATACCTTCTCCAAAGCCACGCGTGCACATGTATAAAAGCAGGATTTAGTACCCTGAATACTTCTTTTCTCGCCTAGGCCTAATTCACACCGCTACAATCATCCAAATTTGCAGTGAAAAGCCACTTCCCATTTCTTCTAGCAATTAAAAAAGGTGAAACTGGCAGGACATTAAGCAGTAGCAGGATGTGGCTTGGCACAACGAGGTGATACAGCTTTGTGTCAGCTTGGTGCAACATACTAATGATGGAAAAATGTGACCATGTTCTCCAAATTCATTCCCCTTTAGAGGCAGCTATGCTACGTGTGTGTTGGTAACTCTCTTTTCAGTTCAGGAAAAAAAAATTGTGAACACTGACAAAACTGAAATTTTTGTTTTAAATCCCCAAAAGAAAATACTGAAAGGGTCTGCCACCTACATATAGCCATCAGCCTTCAAGAAAACATTTTATTTGTATAGGGAAAGCAAAAGAATGAGTGAATTCCAAGGACTGGAAAAGCTACTGGTAAACATTCTGTTTGCCACAATAATTCAGAGCAGTAACTCATGGGAAACCAAGAACAAAAGAAAATAATTCATAACACAGAAAACTCCTGTTTGAGGGGGAAGAAACCCACAGCCCTCAAGACTGAGCAGAGAGCCTGCCAGGACAGAACACTCTAAAGTGGACCTCTGCTGTTACACTGCCCAATATTGTGTAAAATTTGTGAGACAGAGAAAAGGGAATGGAATTCTCCAGCAGTACATGCTCAGTCAGTGGTGGAACATAAATTCAAGCTCCCGTTTGCTTATACAGATTAAAACATTCATTCCCTTCTGCTGACAACTACCTCATTGCCACAAAGACTGTGGCTTGGACACCCTCCTTGGAAAGCTAAAGGTGTGAGCTCAGAGCTTGTTAACTCGAAGAAGGAAGGCCGTGTCCTTGCATATTGGCCAGTGCCTTAAACCAGCAGGTACAAAGGAGAACCCCTGCCAGATTTGTTGATTTGGTACTGAAAAAGAATAAGTTCACTCATTAAGTTCCAAACAAGTTTTTCTCCACTCTAAATAAACTGTGAGTTGCAAAAATGGGAAAGGGCATTTCCTCCCTCCAATCTCTTGCTTTGGTTTTGACCGCAGTGAGGAATCTGCGCTGGAACAAACACAATCAAACTTTCACCGCGGAAAAATCAGTGTCATGGATTTGGCTTACAAAAAGATTTTCCTTGACAATAAAAGTTACATATATCTAATATGTAGCTCTAAATTGCCATGAAAGAACAGTATAAAAATACCAAGTAATAAACTATAGCTATGTGCAATTTGCATCTTCCTCTCCTCAGGGTCCTCAGCTCCAGGGTTTCTTTATTACCTCCCATTTAGAGCTGCCTGAAGGCCCTTTTTCCAAAGTGTTTTTTTTTCCGTGCTCTAAAAGTGCTCAGAGTATTTGTGTCCCTGGACACAATTACCATTGTATGCCTCTGTATTTCAAACCTGAGCTGCTCTGATAAACTGAAAACAAGTGATCCTCTTACCTCTTCCTTTAGCCACTCATTCTCTTCAATTTCTCTGCAGCTGCTTTTGTCTAAGTATCTTACAGCGTTCTGAGAAAACACAATTTAAAATCATCTCCTCTGAAGGCAGGACTTTGACAGCGCTGTACAGTAAAAAGAACCTTCTGCTGTTCAGCAGGAAATAATTAAGAAACATCATCACAACAGGCTGTAACATCCCCTGAGGGATTACAAGCAGATTTAGCCCACAAGGCCAGCTGTTTCTTCTCCATCATCCAGCCCTGTTTACATGACAAGCAATTTACTATTATTTTATAGTTTTCTATATTTGAATTAGGAGAATTTATTTTTTCTCCATCAATTTCTGCCCAGTTCCCACTACTGCTCAAGACTTCCTGTTTTCAAGCTGTCAAACCTTTGGTGGTTACAACAAGACAAGTAAAATCACAGCTGAGACAGCACTAATCTGACAAGTGACATAAACGTGTAGAGATCTGTGCTAACGAGCCACTGGTACAACTGAATTATTGATGTCAGTAAGAGGAAAGAAACAACAGGGAGGGCTGGTGCTGCTGTACCTCACCACAAGCACACAGCACTAGCTTCTCACACTGCATGTTTTTTGGTGTCTCTGCAAGCAGAAGCAATATGTTCATGAACAAGTAATACCTGTGCCTCGTGCCCTGGTTTCCCATACCTGCTCTTGTAAAATGCCCTCAGAGCTGCTCATTGTTTGATGTAAATATGGTACACGGGTGTGACAACAAGCAATGCCATATGCAGTAAGAGCACTGACAGGTCATTTTGCTCTCAATTTGTCAGAAAAGTTCCACATCTTAATTCCAATTGAAATAATAACTTATGCAGAGTGCAAAAATTAGAACTATAACACAGCATTTTGGGAAAAAAAAGGAAGGAATACCTCTGGGGCCTGTTCCTTATTTTTCTTCATGTACATCTCAACCAGAGTAGCATTCTCTTCTTTCACTGCTTTCAGAGCATTTCTGTAATATTCTTCAAAGCAAGAAAGAAAACCAGAAATCATAACCTGACAACAATGTTGTTCCTAAACAGGAACTTATCAGCCAACACACACGTTGAATCCCATACTGTGGAGCAGCTGACTTGTCCATAGAAGACATCCTTCCAAATCCAAAGAGCAGTATTAAGCACAAAGCTAGAAAGCTGAAGTAGCTTGCACTTCTCTGTTGGCAACAACAGCAGCTCCTAAATCAAGTAATTCTCTAGTAAGATATTTTTTATCTTAATGTTAAATTTTCTCTCTCGATAGCAGAGCTCCTGGAATGACCCACAGGACATCTTGAGAAAACTTAGTTTTTATATATAGAAGCACAGCAGGTCATCTCACACACTTGGATTAGTGCAGCATTTTTTTTCAGTTACCATCCTACAGAGCCTAATAAATCTTCTGACCTACCCATGTCTTCCAGGGAGTTCTAATTTGACAAAAGAAAAAAAAAAAGGAAAAGGGAATGTGGCAATTGCCTCAAATATTTGCTCTCATCATTACTTGTGCTCCTTATTTAGAATGTCTTACACTGAATTGAATTTGTTTGACTCTGAGTTCTAGATACCTCCTGTTTAATTATTTGGTCCTTCCCTTCAGTTGTTTTTGTGCTATTCTAAATAGCCCCCTGCTGCTTTGTTTTTTCTGCTTGTGGAAGAATTAATGAGATTGCAGCAAATTTGTTTGAAGAAAGGCATTTCACCTTTGTTCCAGAAGCTTAAAATTCTGCCTAGCTCTGTGCTTGTGTTGCAGACACTCCACTTACTGCTGACTTGGCTTTCAGTGTGTCTGGACATGGACCCATTGTGAAATCAAAAGCAGTCAAATAGGAAAGGTGCATTAGTTGTGCATTAGTTCCTAATTTAACACTGTGGAAGCTGTCTGCTGTAATCAATCCACCACCTGGACTTGGCAGGAAGAACTAGAAGTACTTACATGCAATATTTGAATCACCTTTTCATTGTTTCAGACATCTGAACGATCTGAGATGCTTTGGGACAATAAGAGGAGGAATTGTTCAGACACACTCACTCCTTCTGTGGAGCCTATTTCCCCCATGCCTCACTGTAAGATTTTTTCCTCCAGACCTCATGTAAGTGTAAGGCTTTCTTTTGCTTCCTCTGCCCTCCAGTAATTCTCTTTACAATGCCATCTCCAGACCACATGAATGATGCCAGTGTCAGGCCCTGCAGAGGTAACTACAGAGGCAGAAAGCACTCTACCTATATTTATACCCTAAACCTGCTACAGATTTGAGAATTAAACAAGCCCGATTTGCTGCAGCATCACACTGGATGCTTGCTAGCTGTATTTTTTGTAGGCTAGGAGACAGTACTCCCCAGCCACATTTGATTTTTGGAAGCTGAGTAAAACAGTATGCTAACATTCATTACAGCATCATTTTTCTGTATGCTAATTAGGCAAGAGATACTGCTTGAGATACAAGAGATATAGCAGAAGAGATACTGCTATACGTATCTCTGTCACAGTCCCTCAATAAATATTTCTGTTCATCAGGAGTTTTTGGCTCTACATCCTGTGATATGCAGGAGGCCAGACTGAATGTTCCTATGGGTTCATTTTGGCATTCTATATAAGAGTCTATTCTCTTTTTCATTTCATATATCAGCAGCTGTACAGCAAAGTTTTCATTTGATTGAGAAGAGGAAAAACACACAATAAAAAATATCAGCCTCTCCTTGAATACAAACCTTGATCTCTGAGAAGCTATTTGGCAATGTAGAAAACATAATGCAGATCTTAATCATGGTAAAATATGTTTCAAGAGACAAAAAGATAGCAGGCTGGCTTTTGTCCTCAGTAGCTGATGCCTGGTAATGGTTGGCACAGAATATACAGACTGTTAGAGTGTCACTGCCTGTTACTAGCAGCTGTTGGCTGTGGCCATGCATACTGAGAGGGTCATAAAGGAAGAAAATCAGGACATCCTTCTCCTGTTAGCAGCATGGGTTACACACCAGCAAAATATTTAAATGATTTTAAAATAGAGCAGTAATAAAAAAATCTAACGGCTTTATAAAGCACTCAGCACCAGAATATACAAGCTCTTAAATAATTGCACTGTTGTGTCAATATTGAAACAGTTGCCAGGATTTGTGTATGTCTGCTGGCAGTTTGGCCTCAGCATGAGATTAGCAAATGGAGGCACAGCTCAAACCACTGCCCGTACAGCTCCCTCCAGTCTTGAATTTCAATCATAATCTAATTAGTTCATGCAAGTAATACACAAAGAATTTAGAAGGTTTTCATTACACTAGGTGTAAACTGACCTGAAGACCTCTGAAAGTCATCTTTGACTTCCTTGATGTCTTTTTTCAGATTCTTAATCTTGTTGGCATCCGTCCTACTTCCTACATTTTTGTAGTCCAACCAATAATCCCTCTCACTCTGCCTTACTGAAAGTCGTTGGTCAGTTTCTTCTGTTTGGAAGCGCAGGTCTATAAAAATAAGAACATTGGAAGACAAGTTCATCACCAGTTTCTTAAACTGATATTCTGTAATTCTTTTGACTTCATTGATTTCTTTAATGAAGGCACTTTCACTGGGACTGGGGAATAGGGGGAGATTCTTCTACATTACAGCTCTTTATAACATGATGGTCTCACATAGCACCAAGGGCCAGCATCACTGCTGAAAAAACACTGATCCTCTTCTGCCAAGGAGACAACAATTCTCAGTGAAGTGTAACTGAAGACACATCTGACTTCACTCCCACTGAGAATCACAGGGATGGCAACCACATCTTTCAGCAACCACAAGCAGTCCTTCTTGCTGCCATCAATATTCATTTTTCAGTCTTCCAGTGGAGCCAGTGCAAAGGGCTTTCATGAATTTCAATTTAATGGAAAATATGAAGTGTCTGTGCTTGCACAGTAACACACCTCACAAGAAGTCTAATATACTAGGTTTGCTTATACAAAAGACTCACTCCCATTGATTCTTAATTCAGGTTAATGAGCAGATTTTCTTACAAGTCCTTCACAATTGAATTTTAGGGAGGAAAGGTTAAATGCTGTTTATTAACAGAATCTATTTAAAATGCAAAATCTGTGTAATTCCGATTGCGTAAACTGCAAACCACTCTTCCACAACTCATAATTTACCTTTTAGAATTTGCTCTTTGTCCTTGGCATATTGCCATTTGTCTTTCAGTAATTCTTCCACATCATCCCTAGTTACAACCTCTTTTGCATCTTTTTCTCGCTCCTTTTCCTCTATTCTTCTTAGTATACGCCTGATGTGTGCCTGCTGTTTCTCCTTCAGGTTGTCATTCTACAGGAGTTGGAAAGACGTATGTAGAAATGTTTTCAAATTTGCTTTCAAAGTTACCAGGTAAAGCAGTGAAGAAATGTTGGACCTGTACCAGTGCAGGATGGACTGCAAGAACGCTCAGCTAAAATGTATTCTTCTTGTTTGTAAAGCACAGAGGGGAGAATCTGCAAGTTTCAGAAGTTTCTCTGATTTGAAGATGTCTACCCCAAGGAAATGAGAAACAAATGGTTGCCTGAATATACTTGGTGCTGCACATGAATAGTCCTCCATTGCCTAGAAAGAAAGCTTTTTGTGGATCAATTTAGTAACAGTTTATATGCATGAGTTAATTACTTCAACATTCTTCATGAGAATTTAACGCCTTCGTGTAGCAACATCATCAGACAATCAAGTTACTTGCATGTAATCACAACAGAGTCTTATCTGAGCAAGAGCTGGAGTCCTACATACAGATTCCACAACTGTGATTACATCCTCTTGACCATGACCCTGTCAAGAGACACTAAAAGTATTTGAAATTACTGACTGTATGTTTTCTCCCAAAGGACAGCATAAAGGAGCAAACAACCATACCAGCCAAACCAATTACAATGCAGTAAAGAGTCTCAAACATTCCCCACTTCTGAAAGGATTAACTCTGAACCAGTCAAAAGCAGTAAGATGGGAGCCCAAAGAGCTCAATAAATAGCACTTCAAGCATGCCCTGAAGTGTCTTGTATAGTCTAAAGTTTGAAGAAGTCCTTAAGAGACCATGAACTAGCTGCAAGTTGAGCGAATAACCACAGGAGCTTACAAATGTCTGCAGAGAAAAGAGCTAAATTCACTCCTGCTGATAGTGCAGGATTCGTGTTACACAAGAAATATACAACCCAGGTTTCAAGACTGAAAGGAACACCAAGGAAAATGAAATAGGTATTTTAAAAGTCAGTGGGAATAGCAGGCATTGGAAAGAACGTTTGTGTCAATGTTTCACTGCTATGGGAAGTTTAAGGATTTTTGAGAGATTTCAATTCCTTTCGTGTGGTGAATGTAGATATATCCACCTTCAGAGCTCGCTGCTCTCAGTTCTCAGATGCCATATTGGACTGCTGTGTCTAAGTGTCACTCAGGATAAATACTTAGTGAATTAATGAGGATCTCACTTGCACTGAAAATCACCTCCATTGAACTCACTTTAATTTACTCCTGTGTCCAAATTGGCATCTCTACTCCTGCAGCTCTTTTTTTTTTTTTTTTGCATGGTTGCATTTAGGACAGCTATGCTTTATAACTCCTGAGCATATAAAGAGATTCATTAACTTCACTTTCATTGACTGCAAGAGATTTGCTGCAATGGCTACTTGTAGCAAATGTAATATTCAGATTTAAAAAATAAAACTGAATCTGTGAGTTAAAATACCATGTGTGAAATGTGTCAGGAGAAAAAAATGTGATAAGAAAAAGATGTATGGTCACTTACTCTTTCATTGTATTCTTTGTTCTTTTTTTCCACTTGTTTCAAATCAAACAAAACCTTATCAATTGCTGCTTCTTTTCTTTCAATTCTGAAGAGAAAGAGTAAAGAAAGAAATCCTTACAAAAAGAGGGGAGAAGGGAATGTTAAGCTAGATTAGACATAAACTCCACTTACACATATTTCTTTTGTATCACACTGATTCAATAATTCAGGTAAATACTGATGTCTGCTCACTGCACAGAAAACAAAAGATTTCCCATGTGGATGTGGACCTTCACATCAGTCTGGATCTCTTGCTCATTCTGAGAAAGGGACTCCCTGGCTAAAATGTTCCTTTGGCTACTCCAGTGGCTACCAGATAGGAAGAAGTTCTTCTCCTTTTGGGCTGTGGATTAGCTGACCTTTTTGCAAAGATTGCTTTTAAGACAAGACAGTTTCTGCTCCAGAAATATTTTTTACTCACCACTCGCTGTAGAAGAAGCCTAGGCAGTTCTTTCAGAGGTAGGCCAGATAAATCTCAAACTGGAGCCTTAAAAGGCATCAAATTCTTCCAAAACTTTCATTTGGTGAGCCTTAGAAACTGCTTGTTTTCCACCAAGAACTTGTTAAGTATCTTCAGAAGTGTTATAGAAACGGGCACTGCCAGAGTTCCTCTGTCTATAGATTTCTGTCAAAGATCTAACTCACTGCTTCCATAATTTTCGTAGACCACTTAACATCCTCTTTGCCACAGCTACAGAACAGCTTCAGTGGTGATCACTCTTTCAGAAATATTCTAGAAGAACGGTGCTGTTTTTGCAAACAATTTTTTGTTGCAAACAATGTTGGTTTTTTTTTTTTTTTGCAAAATTCTCTGTAGTCTTTTCCCTCTTCATTCCTGAAATTCACTCACCGTACAGCAAAATGGAGCCAAGTATTACACTTATCACAGTATCTTTTACTGTTCCAACCAGTATTGTTTCTTGACTTTCTTTGTTTGCCCTTTCCTATCATATTAATACATTTTTTAAAAGAAGATCACTTTTTTTTTTTTTTTTTCCTAAGTTTGGATCACACAGGAATTGAGAAATGTACATTGGAGATGTGTAGATTTATAAGCTCTTCTGTCAGAGTGCTCCACAGTATTCTCAAGTTTTCCAGTAGGCACAAAGATATGAGACTTGATGGTCTCATAATGTATTACTTATTAGACAAAGGTGACAGCTTGGCTCCGTGCTGTGGCCTCCTAAATAACAAACTCACTACGAACAGCAGTCATCCTTCAGTGAGCAAATGAAGCTGGAAAGAAAGTTAAATACACACGATGTGGTGGCAAAGTCACAAAGAGGAATGTGAAAGAAATACACTTGTACTATTACACTGCTTTCCACAATAAAGTGGCACAGACAAATTATAAATTTCAGAGACAGAGAAGGAATAAGAGAGAGAAAGAGAACAAAAGAGGAGAAGGAGGAAAGAAACAGGAAGAAAACTTTCTTCCTCTTTTCCTCTACTACTGGTTTAGAAGCTAAAGATGGTGTGCCTGCACAGCACACATTTCAGTGGAAGACTTCAGATAAATGAGTTGTTTGCTTTGATGTCCAAATATGCACAACAACAAATTTATCAGAAACCTATTTTTCCCTTCAGTCTACTACTACACTGTGCTTATTTCTTAGCAAAATAGATTTATTTATTTTTTTCTTTCTGGATAGTATTTATTTGTGATACAGCTCTGCAAACCTTGGTCTGTTTCACTACATAAATTTGTACTCTGTTCTTTGTAAATTCAAATGGAAAATTCCACATCAACCCTGTAAACTCCTGCAGGTGTCACCAGAACAGTGTATGGTTGCTCTTTGCTTTGCCCAACCTCTGCTACTCTTTAAGGCCAGAATTTTTAACTGAGAAACTACTGGATGTAGGTTATATCACTTTCCTTTGTGTTCCACTCTCAGCTGCACTAACAGAACCAACTGGAGCTCGAGGTTCTGGCTGTTTACCTCTGTGAACACCGGGGAATTCTGGAAATTACAATCAAATGTGATCTTGTGATCTCAGAGCAAGCAGATCAAATATCTGCTATTAACAGACAAAAAAATTTTTACTGTCTAATAAAACTAATTGTCCTAAGTTACAACCTAATGACATAAACTTTTTTCTGGCAGTCAGAGAAGATTTTGTAGAGGTACGGTTTAAAAAGTGTGTATTTCTAAAATAGCCTTGAAAGCTCAAAACAAGAGCACAAAAGAATGGTGTGCAATCACAACCCTCCATATGGTTTAGTTCGGGCTCTGAATTGGATACTTTGCTGTCTGCTTTATTCAGTCATATACTCACTCATCTACTCTAGGTGAGTGAAAAGATAAATATATTAAACTCACTGAAATTCTAGTAGGGCTTCCAGGAAAGCTGATTCTTCTGCACTTTGCTCTTCTTGTTTCACCTTCTCTTCCATGCTTTTTGATGTATTTCTGCTGGATATTAGATCTAAAAAGGAGAGGGCAAAGCAGAAAGGAAGAACAAAACGAGGAATGAATGATCCTCAAATCATGATACGTTCACCAGACTTTGTCACTTATAACAAGTTTGTAACAGCTCTGATACAAATGAGGTGCTCTACTGACAGCAGTAACCCTGCCCATGGCAGGACTCAGGGACACGTTCTGACACCCTGAAGTGTTGTCCTGAACAAATATATGTTTGTGAGCAGGGCCCTCTATCACTAGTTACTTCTTGCATCCCTTACTGTGGGTTGCTTTACATTTTTTTGCAAATCAAACAAGCAGTTGTTCTTCTTACAGTCCTTTGTTTGTTTGTCAGGCTTGTTTTATTATCAAGTTCACTTGTTAATATGCATCTCTTTCCTTCTCCTTCTGTTCTCCTAGCACTATGAATATTTGCCATTCACTGCAACTCTGATATCAGTTTTCATTGTCAAAGCTGGAACAAAACCACTCTCTGAAGGGCTATCTGTGTCAGCAGTATTCCCCGGGCATGTTGTCACAGCTACCAGCCTCAGAATTCAACTGACAATGAACAGTTCTGTAATGAAACTGGTAGCATATATTATTTAAAATAAAATAGTCACAAGAAAATAGCACTTATGAAAGAAGATTGCTCACTTTTGGTAGCCGCATCACCAAATGTCAAATATTGTAAATATCAAAGGAAGTTTTAAAGTTGGTGATTAAAAACACAGTACACAACCTGTTTCCATTTTCAGCTTGTTTTTCTGTTCATCTTCTGAACACCCATTTATCACTCTAATAGCTAAGTTTGCAACAAAGCAGTTCTGTGACTAAACATGCAGCAGGCTGGGTGCTCTTCCTGTTAAAACGAGGACAGTAAAGGGGGGAAACAAATAATGGAAAGCAACATAGTAACCAAATTGACCAAAATTCAAGGGAATGGAACCCAACTATTGACACGTGCTCTAATCCACACACTGGCAGATGCCTTCTTGATCTTTCACCCTACCCTGAAGCAAGGCAATGTCAACTTTCTGTAACCAAAATTACTTTTTACCCTGGATGAGCACACGATGCCTGGTGATGAAACAAGTGAATGTGCTGAGAACAGCCACTCTGCTGCAGAAAGGCAGGTAAAAAATGCTCACTCTGCAAGGTGAGAGGAAGAATAGCCACACCTTGGTCAACCTTGGAGCTCCTTAGAGCTTGGAGTATCTTCATGTTTTATCCAGAAATTTACCCCTAGTCTATTGGAAAACTACTTGTACAGATTCTGTCTGCTCTGCTGCTGAAAACATGGACTCACGGAGTCAATTGCCTAAAGCTGTCAATCACAGTCTTTGCAACAGTCAAATACTGAAGTCACAAACAGAGCCAATTCCACTCACAGAAATGTGGAAAATTCTAACCCTGCCAGCTGCACCTTGAAACTCCCAAAGAGTACCAGGTCAGTTTTAACGGTTGCTACAGGTGAGTAAAATATTTCTGTTGTTAAATCTCATTACGATCATGCCTGTGTGACAGCATCACCGTGACTGCTGTAAAACTTATTAACATTATCCATCCAATAAAAAATCCTGCTCTGTGTGAGCAGCTGCTCAAGTCTGACGCCTTATAATTCTGTAATACTCACGTGTAATCTTTACAGATACTAATTCACATTAAGCTTCCATTTACTTAATACAATGCTTTCTATGAAAGCTTTAAAAATTGTGAACACTCTGAGTGTTAAAGAGACCAAGCGAATTAAGGAAAAAATGGCAACAAGACAGAGTGAGGTACTTCACTCCAGATCAAATCCACAAGTACAGGATCTATTTTTACATACAAAAAAGAACCTGCCATCCTCTCCAGTGCAGAATTAACTGAGTGGTATTGATTCCACTTCCAGCACTCAGTTTGCTGGTTTTCCTCAGAAACTGAAGATCGCTGTAGCAGTTTTTAACTTCTTTTTTGTAATTGATCTCTGTTTAAAATGATCTCTTCTACTAAATGGATAATCAATTTTCCTCCTTAAAGTTGGATACAAACTGAAACAACATTTTAAGCAGCAGTATTTTCCGAGGGCTTGTTTTTTGAAACTCAAGTCTCAGGTGAGATCTAATGATATATTTATGAACTTCCTCCTGTGTAGGGTGCAGCAAACAAGCCTCCAAGCTGTACAGTAAGGTAAACAGCATACTGCAATGACAGATTTCCTCTGTTTTGCAAACAAGAGAAAACACACACAGAAGAGATAAGGAAACATATTTAGGGACTGAGAACATATTAAACCTGCAGGAAACCATTTGCAGAGGATAAAATCTATTTTTCTCCTCTCAAACAAGTTAATCATAAGGCTGAACTCCTAACATAATCCCACTATCATTACCAGTGCATTTTCAATTAATGACTAATACTGCCACTTTATTCTTAGAATCAAGCAACTCCCATATATTCCAGCCCAGGCACTGTGACTTCCAGATACTGCAGTGATCACCTATATGGTAGCCCTACCAGTGACACAGACTTATCATAGAATCATTTGAGATGGAAAGGACCTGTAAAGGTCATCAGGTTCAACTTCCCTGCAAAGAACAGCTCGATAAGGTTGCCCAGAGCCCCACACAGCCTGCCCTTGATTGCATCCAAGGATGGGTCAATCAATTAACTGGGTAACCTGTTCCAGTACCTCACCACCCTACTGCAAAAAACGTTTTCCTTATACCCAGTCTAGATCTCCGCTCTTTGAGTTTGAAACTATTTCCCCTTGTCTTGCTACAACAGACTCTTCTAAAGAGCGTACCCACTTCCTTCTTATAGCCCCCCTTCAGATACTGAAAGGCCACTCTCAGGTCTCCCCAGAGCATTCTCTTCTCCAGGCTCAACAACCCCAGCTCTCTCAGCCTATACCTGTAGGGGACGCATTCCATCCCTTGGATTTTTTTTCTTTTTGCTTTACCAGCAGTCTCCATGAACAATTATCACTGTCATACCCTCTCCAATCTCCAAACCACACAAACAATTCCTTGTGCTCTCAGTCCCTTACTGTGTTCTGTGTGCACTCCCTGCCAGCCCCTGCATCACCAGGCATCCTAATGGAGGTCTGAGCCAACTTGCCCCCAGCAACCAGACTGCACTGCCTGCCATACACATACAGATTCATAGAAACATTAAGGTTGAAAAAGACCTCTAAGATCGTCTAGACAAACTGTAGCACCACCATGCCCACTAAACCACGTCCTCAAAGCCACATCTACAAAGTTCTTTAATGCCTGCAGGCTTTAATGCACTGCAGGACAGCGACTCCACCAACTCCCTGGGCATCCTGTGCCAAAGCATTATCACTCTTTCTGTGATGATTTTTTTCCTAATAACCAACCTGGACCTCTCCTGGCACAACTTGAGGCCATTCCCCCTCATCCAATTTCTGTTAACTGGGAACAGAGGCCGACCCCCCCCCCCCCCAGCTTCCATTCAGGGACTCGTAGAGAGCCTCCTCTTCTCCAGACTGAACAATCCCAGTTCCAGTTGCCCCTCATAAGATCTGTGCTCCAAACTGCCCCTCCACACCGTCCCCCAGCGCCTCTGATCACCCGCTGCCCAACCATACCCTCAGCGCCCTGCTTAGTGCCCCCCCACACTGCCACCACCCACACCCAAATCCACATCACCAACCCCAAGGCCTAAACGACCACCACCACCCCCTCCCGGCCCGGGCACCCAGCCGCCACTCTTGTCTCAGCAGCACCCACACAACGCTGTTGCCCCTCGCCCCGCCGCTCCCGGCCCTACGAGCTCTGTCAGCCTCCAGGCTGCTCCCAGGGCCGCGCCGCCTCCAGGGCAACCGGAGCTCCCTGCCCGCTGTGCGCTTCGAGGAACAATGGCGCCTCCTGGCGGCGCCTCGCGGAGCTGCGCCGGGGGGAAAGCCCGCCAAAATCCTCACAGGGATGGGTGGATAGCCGCGCCTCGCAGCCCGTGATGGCGGAAGGCATTGAGGCAGCGGGCAGTCCTCCTGCCACAGGCAGGCCACCGAGGGCTGTCCTCGGCTTTCGAGGCGTCTTCATACTCCTGGAGCTGTGGGTGTGTGGTGAAATCACAGAATCACAGAATGGCCAGGGTTGGAAGGGACCTCAAGGATCATGAATCGCCAACCCCCTGCCACATGCAGGGCCAGCAACCTCCACATTCAGTACCAGACCAGGCTGCCCAGGGCCCATCCAACCTGGCCTTGAACACCTCCAGGGACGGGGCGTCCACAGCCTCTCTGGGCAGCTGTTCCAGCACCTCACCACTCTCATGATAAAGAACTTAATCTTCATGCAACACTTGAAGCTTTGTGTCTTCTCCTGGATTGGGCGTTTGAAAGCAGCGCTTCATTACAGCTCAGACTTAATGTTTTTGTTTGTGGCAGCAAAACTTATGTTTATCTCAGAGCAAAAGAACAGGAAATCTATCAGGCCATCTAACACACCTGACCTTTAAAGATATCTATTTTATAACCACTATTATCAAGACAATCTCTTCCTTAGAATCACAGAATCATTCAGGTTGGAGAAGACTTCTAAGACCATCTAGTCCAGCCATCCACCTACCACCAGTATTGCCCGTAACCATGACCCTAAGTACTACTGTGTAGTGTAGTACTTAGTCACCTCCAAGTAGTACTTGGAGGTGTATACTTGGGTCACCTCCAAGATGGTGACCCCCACTGCCCTGGGCAGCCCATCCAGTGCTTGACCACTCTGAGAAGAAATTCTTCCGAATAGAGCACCATATATAGGCAATTTACCCTCACTATTCCTTTCCTTTTACAGTTTACACTTAGAGCATACATTTTATTGTTATATTTTAAAGGAATTTTGAAAGGACTTTCTAAAGATTTTGGAAGACTTAGTGTTTAAAGATGTGAAGAAAGGCCATCTGCTGAGAAGCTGACGGAGGCTTTGCCCTCCTCATGAAACAAGAATGAGCAAAGAGGTCAAAGGCAGTCCTTACACACATGTATGCAGAATAGAAAGCCCCTCATTCAAGAGCACAGTTAGAAATGAGGTTTGATAGAAGGTAGGACTGTGCTCAGCAGTGTGGGGCACGGGCAGCCAAAGTGGTAGTAATGGTGATAAAAGGACAGTTGGACTAGATGATCTCGTAGGTCCTTCCCAACCTTGTGATTCTATGATGTTATGAAAATCATCTCTTAGATATGGAGAGAAAAGTGTTTTACCACATAGCCTCACTGTGCAGAAGGACTTATTTGAAAAAAACAACAGACTTTGGGGCCCAGGAGATGACTGCAGAGTACAAAGTGAGGGCTGTCCACACATTCATAGAATGGCTTAGGTTGGAAGGGACCTTAAAGATCATAGAGCTCCAAGCCCCTGCTATGGACAGGGTTGCAACTCACCTCATCGGGCTCCCCAAGGCTCCATCCAACTTTGAACCTGCCAGTACCACACCATTTACCTGTGGATTTTTGTTTGTTTTCTAAAGATGCCATAACACTTTGTTACACTGCAATCAAAAACACACTTATGTCTTCTCACTGTGCTGAGAGCATTATAATTCTGAGGCTATATAGGGAAGCAGGGTTGGCAGGACCTGTCATTCCAGCACTACTTTTTATCTTCAGGTGCTACCTTGAGAGTGCTCAGGCTCAATTTATGTGAAAAACAGCCACACTTACACAAAAATCAGTCTTCAGATCAACTACAACAGTGCAGAGCAATTGTGGGGACAGGCTGTATGCTGGTTGCAGGCTCTTACCGTCTTAGGTTACTGAGGAATCAGTCTGAGGGTCCTTTCACGTCATTCAGGTATTTTCAATTTGCTCTTTACTGCAGACTGGTGACTGGGCTGAGCTAGGACAGCCCTTGCATCCATAATCCCATGGGTTTCCCCTGAATCTCCTTCAAAAACAAATCACTGAACTAGCTGTGAGAAGGAGAGAAGAAATATGTTAACAGACACAGCACAAACCCCATACGTAGTTTTGCTGCTCCATAATCACAGCCAGTGGTCCTAACGATCCTGGGGCCCACTGACACTTGGAGCATCCCAGCAGCAAGTAGCTGCTTTTCCCTAAGCCCTGGTTCAAAACTCCTTAATTAAAGAGGAAATTGTTTTGGGCGATGGGTGTAAGACCCATCAGTTCCGGCTCCATCCGGCAGGGGCCAGGCGTCACACGGCTGTCTGCTCTGAAAAGGCTCAGGCTCACCACTGCCTTCTTTTTTTCCACTTTGGGACTGCTGTGAGAGGGGAAAAAAAAAGATATCAAACACAATAGAAAAATACATTCCATGTGCCAAGAGTGTCAAAAGGGTCCCCATTTCTAATTAATGCACGAAGTTACATTAGCAGAAGGGCAGCCTGGATTTGAATACATACAGATTAGAACACTGCATTAAGCTGAATAAACAGGATGTATGGATAAGAGGCACTTGAGTGAAAATTATTACAGGGAGTAACTGAGTTTTGTGCTTTAACAAGGCCTCCACTTCACTTGGATGCATGTTAATTGAAATGAAGCCCTATTAAAATCCAGAACTTTGGCAGATAATGCATACAAAGCGTTCTCTATTCTCTCTATTCCAGAGAGCTCCAGCTTCACAGAATAGTTTGAATTGGAAGGGATGTATAAAAGTAACCCAGTGCACCTCCCTTGCAATGCACAGGGACACATACAGCTGTCAGGTGTGCAGAACCCATCCAGGCTGACCCGCAGTGTTCCCAGGGACGGGGCACCACCACCTTGCTGGGCAACCTGCCCCAGTGCTGCTGAGGGAGAGGCACCGCTGGAACACAAATGGCAGAATGTGTATTTTGTGCCACTGATTCAACAGAAAAGCACCCATGGCAGCACCCTGGACAAACAGATGACTGAATCCTCTATTATCACTACTTGTATTATCAGTACTCGCAGGGGTGGCCAGCAGGGACAGGGAGATGATTGTCCCCCTCTACTCTGCTCTTGTGAGGCCCCATCTGGTGTAGTGTGTCCGGGTCTGGAGCCCCCAGTAAGAAAGACAGAGAGCTGTTGGAGAGGGTCCAAAGGAGAGCCACAAAGATGATCAGGGAGCTGGAGCACCTCCCCTATGAAGACAGGCTGAGGGAGCTGGGCTTGTTCAGCCTGGAGAAGAGAAGGCTGCAGGGTGACCTCATTGCAACCTTTCAGTACCTAAAGGGAGCCTACAAACAGGAGGGGAGTCAACTCTTTGAAAGGGTTGATAATTGCAGGACGAGGGGAAATGGCTTTAAGTTGAGGGAGGGAAGATTTAGGTTGGATGTCAGGGGGAAGTTCTTTACTATGAGATTTGTGAAGTGTTGGAACAGCTGCCCAGAGAGGCTGTGGATGCCCCGTCCCTGGAGGTGTTCAAGGCCAGGTTGGATGGGGCCCTGGGCAGCCTGGGCTGGTGTTAAATGTGGAGGTTGCTGGCCCTGCGTGTGGCAGGGGGTTGGAAATTCATGATCCTTGAGGTCCCTTCCAACCCTGGCCATTCTGTGATTCTGTGATTCTGTATCTTTACTGCAAGCAGGCGTATCTTCACACTTCTTAAATTACATTTTACCAGGTAAAGTGAAACAAGGATCGTTTTCCCTCACGTCACACCTGCGGACTTCACTTGCGATACCCACTCGCAGCTCCAGAGCCTGCTGCCACGACCTTGCCCCTCAGCGCGCCATTTCAAACCTGCCCCACACAACCTTTCCCCGTCCCGCACAGCGCAGCGCCCGCCGTGTCCTCAGCAGGCTTCCCGATGCCCGAGGCGGGCAGGGCGAGCCCAAGGAGCCGCCCAGCTCTGCGGGACGTGGCGCCGCCATTGGCGCGGGTCGGAGCCGCCTCCAGCCGCCACCTCCCTCTCCTCAGACGGGCGGCTGCCGGATGGGATGAGGTAGCTCGGGCTTGCTGCTGATCGGAGGGATGGGGTAAGCCGCGGAGATGGCGGTGGGGTCCAGGAGGGTGTCCCGCTGAGGGGAGCCCCTTGAGGGGTGCGCTGGGTGCTGTGCCTGACTGTCACGCCTCACCTGAGCCTGGCTTCTGCAGAACGATGCTTTAGTAACTGGCGGCCTTCTTCGTTTAAACAGGACTCTCAGATCTCTGCTGTGAGATGCTAAATAGGAAGCACTTTAATTTTGAAGCACGAACGGTGTCTTGCGTTCTGTCTCAAAAGTGACTTTGTGGAATGGGACTTGGTCCTAAAATCCAGTGAACTTGGTTGTGTGTGTGTGCGTTGAGGGATCTGCTGTATGTGGTTGTCACTGCAGGATAAAGGTCACTTAAATTTGGGGCCAGGCTGTTGAACGGCCCTGCAAGTACTGCTGAGCGCTCTGTGGGGGCTCAAAGCTGGAAAGTTGTGGCCACACAGTGCCATGGAGCTGATGCCCGGTGTTTAACACTGATGGCTGCAGTGCATGGAAGTGCCTTTCATCAGAGACACTGGAATAGAAGTGAGAGTTTTATGACATTCATTAATTACTATCTCTTTTGCTTAGTGTTTTATGCACCTTGCTGCCTCCCCAGAAGAAAAGGGTGTGATCTCATCTGCTTCTGCCACAGTTTTGGGAAGGAAGACTTACCCTGGCCTTGCCAACATCTTAGTTATTTTGCAGGATTATTCTTGTTCCATCAGACTTATCTCCTCTTTGTTCTGCAGGTTTATTCAGCTTTCATCACACATCTTTCTTGTCTGTTCTACGTGTTTTGCTCTTATCTTGCAAATTTTACTATTTGTATGTTTTCCTGTGCATAGCTTGGTCAAATGTACCACGAGCTTCCTTCCATTTGCAGTTTTACATATTTATGCATAGCTGTGTTATAAAATACTACTAGTAATATTACAGTATTACAAAATGCATATATATGTTGCTACAAATACCATATTTTAGTGTGCTTACACCCAGGTTTAAAGCATGGCAATGCTAAGGCATCTTGGTCTACTTTTACCTTATGGGTGCAGCAGACCTCTGCTTTGGCTGCATCCTTGAGTTTTCCAAAGCTGTTATTGGACCTATCTCATACAAAGGAAACTTCCTTCCAGCATCTCCTGTAGCCCAAACGAACATAGTATCCGTTTCACTGTCAGGCTTTTAAAAATCTGTGAAACAGGTCATCGTGTTCTTGTTTAATCTCCTTTTCCTTCAGTCCAAGTACCGCTGGACTGCTGTGCAACTAGGAATGCAGGGCTCACTGGGTGAGAAGGAGAGTCAGGAGAGAAAGTTCGGTCCGGGATGTGGTAGCCTGACTGCGAGGAAGTAGACCTGGATTTCTTGTTTCTGCTCGCAAGGTTGCATCATATCTTTAATGAACTTTTAGTTGGATGGGCAGTTTAATCCTTGGTGGCGCAATCTCAGGGAGAGTTAAAAGTGAAGAAAATGAAACCTTCATAGACTGGCATATATTTGGTAAATGAGGGCATGTGTGTTTGAATCCTCTTGGATTAAATGGTTCTGGGGTTCTGGTTTCCCTCTCTTCTTGAGGGTGTGCCATGGCCACTGGGCAGTGCCTTGCATTGCTATCTTCATAAAGAATGAGCCACTCCTGCAAAACTAAATACCTTTGTTAGGCACAGGTATTATACTCTGAACTCTAGCCTCACAAACTAAACTCCTTATTTTGCTCACTGTATCTGAAAAACAATTTCAATCACAACCTCCCTCTCCTTCTTTCCCATCCCTGTGCTTTTCAGCAGGATTTGTATGTCAAATCCAACTCACACAGGACACCTTGACGTGGCTCCTCATCAGTGCAACTGCAGACTGCTACAGGAGCTGTTCCCTGCTTCTCACCTCTCACATGGAGCAATTGGATTTAGCTCTCACTGGGCCCTCTTAGGTTTCTTTGTATCACAGTGCTGACTCTGCCTGGAACCATCTACTTTGCTCTGTTTGGCTCTGGCTATCAGCATTTGGGAAAAGACTGTTTTGCACGCAGCTGTTTGCACGGCTGGGCTGGGCCACCTCGTGAGTGAAGTTTTCATGGCTGATGGACTTCCTGTTATTATTGCAATTTAAGATCACTATTAAGGAGGACTGGCATTACTGCTTTCTGGCTTCAGATTTAGCCAGAATAAATGTGGTAGCAGATGGAGTATTTATATTATACATATTTCCAGTGCATAACAATATTTTTAACTAGATGATAAATATTTCCCTCTTAATAGGGAGCTATAGCAAACTTCTTTCAATGTGTTTGTTAACAATAGTAATTGTGAGGGTTAATACTATATGCTCTCTAAGATTCCTTGCAACCCAAACCATTCTATGATTCTACAAAAACTTCACTGCAAAACTTAATTCTGGTAATTCTGACTGCATTCTATTTGCAGAGTGTAGGCTAACATTTCTATAACCGTTTTCATTTTTACCTTACCCATCTCCAGACTGACTTTTCTCCCTTCTCTCTACTTACGTATCGTTTCCATGACTGCAGGAGTCCTGAAGAACATTCCTTTCTCACTGGCACCTGATTTCTGCTGGCAATTGGATGCTGTGTAAAAGCCTGCTTTCAGATAGTTGTGTGCCTCTGTTACTGCAGCAAGGACTGCATTAACTGACGCAAGCTTTCCTATGAGCTTTCAGATTACATCAATTATTAGCTGGGTAATTTTAAGCTAAGAAATGTGCATGAGTGAGTGTCCGAGGTTTGTGGTTAGTCTGTCATCTCATGAGAAAGGACAGCCAAAGGGCTTGGTTTGTTTGCTGGCTATTTGTGTACAGTAAATTAAACGAAACCATAGTCACAATTAAGTTGGTGCCCGAAAAGTAGGGGGCCTGCAGTGTCAAATTAAAAAGAGTGGTTTAGATAAGTAAGGGTTGGTTCTGAGGCAAGGATGATGTGAAATGCTCCCCACCCGATTTGTGCTCAAACTGTCCCACTAAACTATACTGTGTAGCATCTTGCAGAGGAAATGTGATGTCACCAGTGACTTGAGCAGCAGTTCTCTGATGCGTAGAAGAGGCAGCCTGTCTGCCCAAAGGTTCCTAGTTTTACAAACACAGCGGGGGAAGAGCAGTCTGTCAATAATGGTTGCTGTCCTTGCTCAATTAAGAGCTCCACAGTTGATTAACTCAAATGAGGAGTGAGAGTAGGAAAAGAGTCTTGCAGAGATGTGACAGGTCCTCTTGTTTAGAAAGCCTTCTGCATTAGCAACATTCTGGACTGCACAGTGACTACAGAAACTGCAGTTCGGTGTTCTTTGTTTTCGTATATAAAAGATTATTCAAACAACAAGTAGGAAATGTGTCACTTCCCAGTAGCCATTTGATGGGAAATACTTGTTAATTTGCTGTACTGCTTTGCTTACTCCCAGTCTTCAGTGGTACTGTTTCCAGACCAGAGTCCTCGATGGAAATGCCCACATCTGTGCTAATTAATACAGGAGAGCAAGGAGGCAGGGTAGAGGTAGGGTACCTTTGCCATAGTCTCCAATACCTAAAGTTCTAACTCCTCTGTATTGGGAACCACTTAACTTTGATTTGCCTAAGGCTAAAACTTACTAAAAACAAGAATACATTTTACAGCAGTTTTTTTTTTTTTTTTTTAAATCACTTTTTTTTTTTTAAACCATCCATATCAATGGGATTAATGTAGAAAACACATCCTAGGATTTGAATCTGTAGTTATAGTGAGGGAAAATTCCAAAGGAATTAGCCATCAAATACAGAAGTGTGTCAGGTCAGAAGATAACTTCATGCAACAGTTTGCCTCCAACCTCTATTAAATAATGCAGTTTTATTCAAAACTTTTTTCAGGCAAGACATAAGAACACTCTGTTGAGCAGCATCATTGGTGGGTCTCATGCCAGTGACTGCATAAAGAACATAAAGAATGAGGCAGTGATGATGGGAGCTTGTGTCTTGTTAGCCTCCCTGTTCTCTTTTTGGAGGGAGTCTGCTCCCTCTGTAAAGGGAGATGAGAATCACTGGTTACAATAAACAATGCTCTGCCTTCAGAGATCCAGAAGATTGAGCCATTTTCACTGTGATATTGAAATATCCCTTGCCCTGAGAACGTATTATTTGTTTTGCAATCACTGGTAAAGAGAATTATCAGCTAGAAGAATGTAGTTCTTGCATATGAATAATTATTCAATCAAACAATATGCCGGTGCATATGTAGGAGTATGATATGCAAGGAAGAGCAACCAGAATCAGAGCATCACAATTTATAATGAAATGTATGCATTATTGTTCTTAACTTGCTGAAATTTCTGTAATTTTAAAGCTGCTTAGTAGAGAACTCAAGATCTTGTGTGTAGTTTTGTACTTCAGACAGTTAAGAATAAATGATTTGGCATCTACAGTCAGCCTGATGAACAACAGTCAGTGGAAAAGCATCATTTAGATGTGTTTCCATTAGTTTCCTCTTTAATTTATGAACCTGTTATTCCTGAGACCACATCTTTTGAAACCACTGTCCTACTGACTGTGTACCATAGCAGGTATAGAGATTCACATTCCTAGGCACTGCTGCCAGTATCCAATGAAAGTCCTATGAAAGAAATGGCAAGCAGCCATACGTTATTAGAGGGATTAGGCTACAGCCAAAGCAAATTGTTCTTTCCTCTTCCAATTTTCAGTTGTTAACTCTTTTCTACTTGCTGTTAACATTCTTGCTCTCTTGTTCAGAGTGCATTTTGTGTAAGCCAGAATGTTTGCCTGTCTGATATCAGCGAGGCTGTCAGTAAGACTGTTTTCAGATTGCAGCTACTCTGCAGGTAAAAAAACAACAGGAATCTCCTTGGTTCTGGTAAGCAAGGGTAAGGTGGGAGCAGGGTTTGTTCTCTCGTTTTCCTGTTGTGGCTGCCTTGAGCAGTTGTACTGTAATTGCAGATAAGTAGGTTCTTTTCTTTATCTGCATGTTAGTGAACATTGCACAGGAGAGCATGTGGATATAAAATAAAGCATTTATGTGTTTGTACGAGCAACTTTAATATTGCCCTATTAGATATTCCAACACCAGCTTCCACTTTGCGACCAGCTAGATAAAATCTGCCTCCCACTGGCTAAAAACTCATGTTGTTGGCAAATACTGCTCTTCAGTTTAGTCTCTGGGACTGCTGGAACTGTGATATGCTGTGTACATCTAGCTGGTATCGTTTTGAAAAGGCTTTGATAACACCTCGAGAAAGAGCAGCTGGATTGGCTACAGATATGCATATCTTACTGGAAGATCTCTTTCCTTTTGTCCTGTCAAGAATTACATTGACAACAAGTTGCCTTGAGTGCGTTTAAGCTCAGGCCTTAACACTGCAGGCACCCATGTTTTAGATTCTTAACTAAGAACTTAAGTTCCTCTTGAGAGTTAATTGGTTTTCTTTCTCCGTTACCCAAACTTAACTCTGTAGTCCTCTGAACTTCTGTGCAAATACACTCATGACCATCTTAAACTATTTGTGCTCATGCCAACACTGGCATTTAGTTTAATTAGCTGTTCTTCCTCCAAGAGATTTGCCTCGTGTGTTTCGAGAAATTCTATTTTCTAAGCCTAATTTATTTTATTTTTTGCAAAATACTGTCACTGCCTGATGTGACCTTTTAATGGGAGTCAGTCCTGCAAACTTCTCCTTGCTCCTTGTGTTCCAAAATAAAGGATTTCCTGCGAATGAGTGCTGGGGACAAACTTAGTTGCCTTTTTTCTGAGAATGAGTTTCCCTGCAGGTGCAAGTTGCTACATTGCACAGTTTGTCTTTCTTCCTCAACTTCCCATTGCCTCGTTTCTGGGTTTCCAGCTCATCCTAGCTGCTAGTGCTGATATGTCGAAGCATATGTACCTTCATACCATGCGTATGGTATGGAGGTACATACAGATGCAGGCTGTTGGTAGCCAGGCTGTAAGGGTAGCTGTTCTGCTGGAGGAGTTGGCCCAAATAGGGTTGCAGAAGCAGACCAAGTTATTGGATGGGCTGTCACCTGCTTTTTCCTGTGAGAAGGCGTTGGCTGTAAACAGATTCTCTCAAGTGAAACTTTAGCAGCTTAGGCCTAGTGCACAAGGAGCACAGAAGGCAATTTTGAAATGTAAATCTGAGACATGCTGAGGTTGCTGCGTGTAAAAGGAAGCTCTGTTGATTTGACTGGCCCAACTGACTGGGGTTTTCCTGCTTGGTTTCTGATCCTGTAGATGAATTTAATGTCAGTCATAACAAACCACTCCAACATCTTCTTTACCTCTCCCTCATTACATCCCATATATATGCACTGAGTGAAAATGTAAAAACCTAAGCTATGACTGTGGTCCTTCTTAATATGGTATAATGTTTGCAGTGCAGTATTTGAATTCAGATTCTTTTCCAACGTGGGAGAAAGTAGGGGAGAAATAAAGGTCTGTGCAGGGCCAACAAAGCAGCCTTGCTGTTACAACATGTTCCAGACAAATGCAAAGCCTCCCTGGAAGGCATAGAGACATACAACTGCCTGAGGAGGTTTTGAGAAACTTTATAAGGCACCATTTTTGGATGACTGCCTGACCTGAAGCACTTGGCACATGTGAGCAACTTAAGAGTTGAGGATGGCGAGAAGTACAGTGCATCTCAGCCCTTATTTTTATTTTTTATTTTCAAGACATAGAATCTTTCGTGCATGAATTACAGAAAGCATAATTTCAGATTCCTGTTTATTACAGGGAGTAGAAACCTTTTATGAAAGGAAAGATTTTTGGTGTGGCTTCATTTGAATTTTAGGGGAAAAAAAAATAAAAATGATGCCTCATATCCCAAGTGTCACAAGTATTAGTCTACAATATAAGATGACAGGCTTTTCTCCAGAGATCATCGGTCTGGTGGTTCTAATTCCATGATTTAATCAGTCTGTTGTGGATCTTTCTGTTTTATTTGAAACTTAGGTCTGAATGCTCTCTTGCCAAAGATGAATGCTGAGGCCTCTCTATTCTTTCTGGCACGTACAGGACATTTAAGAAAAAGTATGTGAAGAACAAAAGAAGAAGAAAAAAGAAAGTGGAAGGATTAAGCTTGGAGTGGTGGTGTGTGATTCAAACTGGACAAAAGCATTGATTTATTTTTAATTTTTGAAATCTGTCTTGTAGATCTCCAACAAATGCCATTCCCTAAGCCAACATTTTGTACCATCAGTGCTTACGATCTCCTGCAGAAAGCCAGCCTTGCCATAGCTTGTGTTAGCAGGTCTCCCGAGGCTGGCAGTGTACATCACACACACACACAAAGGTTTTCAACCTTGTTTATGCAGAGGCTAACATCTGTTTTGCCTTCAGTTTGTCTCTGGCATGGTTCCAGTGACTGAAGACTTGTGATCACAGTACACACTTCAGCATATGGATGATACACATGAAAGGAAGAAAAATTACTGTTAGGTCATTTTTCTTTAAGTGCTTATCCAGTGAGATTAGGAGCCAGTTTTTCAGGTACCCAGTCATGCTGTAAATGATCCATTACGTTGTTATATTTGTGAAGAAACCTAAAAGGTCAGCTGCACTACTTATGCCTAGGCAGGTGAGCAAAGCCAAAGTGGCAGTGCAAATTTAGTTGCAGAATCTACTCTACAGAATGATGGTATCTGGGAAGTTCAGTCCCACCCTGCCTTGCCTTGAGCTCCCCTGGGTCTGTTCAGTGAATGTTGCCCAACTGTTTCTTTTAGATTTTTGAATTAAACTGTTAAACAACATAACCCTCCATCAGTCTCCTTTAAAGATACTGTTCCTACAATAGATTCCTTACAGACCTGATTGGCCAGACATAAGAAACATAAAATATCCACTTTTCATTGCAGTTATGTTGCATGAATCATGGAGAAACTGAATGTAGCAGCCAAACATAACCACATGCAGAAGGCTGTTGCACTTCTGCAGAGGGACTGAGATGAGCATTAACCTGGCTGCAGCTGCCTTCCACATCTGTAAGATGTGCTGTTTTTAGAGGTGATGCTTCCTTGAGTAGTGCTAATATCTTGTTTTCCTCTCATGGTTGAATTGTTTACAACTTCTGGCACCAGAGGAGCAAGCACAAGGATTACCTGCATGATTTTAATGTTCAGTGTACAGTGCAAGAAAGCTACAAGGCTGTGCCAGTAGCTATCCTTTTTTAATAGGAGCTGTTCAGTAACAGCTTCTCTGCTGCCTCTCATCAGATTTGTCACTTCGGATGCTTCTGAGGCTTGCACTGAATTCAAGTTGTTCTGTTTTTGTTTTTTTCCCCCTCTGGTTTCATTGTATCAATGAAACAGTCACTCTGAAACACTCAGAGACCCTGAGGTAGACACAGCTGACTCCTCCTCCAACCGTATTCTTCTGAGCTTTTTCAGGAAGAGGCTTTTGCCTTTTGTGGTTGGAATTATCTTGTAACTGATTAGTCATCTGCTTTTCCAGAGGGTACCATGGCCTATGAAACAGAGACAAAACAGTTTTTAAAACTACTACTTAAAGATTCAATTTGGTTTGGATAAAGCAGCGAGATTCATGTTACTGCACCATTTCTGATTCCACACATTCAAGATGTTTCTGTAGCCATTAGTTTGCTTTCATTACATATGTTCTGTAGCGCAGTGATTAAGCCTACATGGGATCATATTCCTGATATAATTATATGCTATTACTGGTAAAATATTGTGAGTAAAAGTTGAATTCCTATCTTGTAAACTAAATTGGATTGCAGCCTGTGGAAACTATGGATACCCTGAACTTCCTTCCTATGCTGTGGGCTGATATAAAGGAAGGGAAAATTATTCAAACTTCAGTATGCTTCTGGAAACAGTTCCTTCCTGACTTGAGCTCAAGTCAGAAGAATAGAGGTATTTTGACTCCATCCAGCAGCTAATAACTGCTGCTTAAAGGTTTTAATGTAAGAACCTGGCTTTGCAAACATGGTACTTGATCCTTCAGCGCTGTTTGTTTTGGGTGGGTCAAAAGTCTGTTGTAGAATTTCCATTTGGAAATCTAAAGAAATAATCTCTTAAAACTGTTTTTTTGTTTTTTTTTTTTTAATTTGTTTTTTTGTTGTTCTGAGTCATTATTAAGAAATGTTTATGAGCGATAAACATTTTTCTCACAGGCAAGATAAAATCCTTCAGAAAGAGGCACTGCAGTAATTGGAGAACATGCTCCTGAAGTCTTGAACTGGAGCATACAAATTGTTCTGTGTTCCCAGCCTCCTCCCATCTCGCTGCTGCAACAAGTTGTGCTTGGCAGCCTTCTGATTACTTCCTTAGGGCTCTTCCTCCAGGGCTTGTGATGACTGCTGCCTTTCTGTTCTCCTGGAAGGAGAAAGACCTCTTTGAAGACCTGGAGCAGGAAGACAGGTGTGGAGGGCAAGGCTTACGATTTGCTGGGAGTGGAGTAGGGTCCAAAAGTTCAATGGCTTGTCCTTACAGGATAGTTCTTCTGCTTTGGTTGGTTGGTGCCAAAAACAAGTGGCCTAGAAATGTGCTAATGCTATCATCATAAACCAGCATGGCAAGCTCCTGAGTTTTAGCTTAAATGTTAGCTGGTTGGTGGTGGTGGGTTATTATTTTATTTTTGTTTTTCTTTGTTACTTTTTCCCACTCAGCCTCTACACTCTGAATCAGGACTGCAAGCAGCAGTGAATTTTTCCTTAGAGATATCTGGCTCTTTCTGATCTGTGTATGATAACAATAGGCACAGGTTTTATGTGCCCTTGTACACAATGTCTGTGCTTGTGACTACATGCTTCTTTTACTTTAAATGGATATATGCTAGTGTTCTTGACTGTATTTTCTTCTCCTTCCTTCTCTTGCCCAAATTATTCTGCTGACTTTAAGAGCAACTTAAAATGCATTTATTTTTAAATTGTCATTTAAATGACGTTTGGTTCTGTGTTGCAGGGTGTGAGTCACTATATTCAAAAGCAGTGTATTTTCCTGACCACCTTGTTCAAGAGGCCTGTAAAACAGGTTTGACTTGAAGTGACCACTTTGTAAAGTGGTTTAATCACACTGAAAAACTTGTTTATTTTAATTTAAAAAAAAAAAAAAAAAGCCTATGTGATCTACTTCTCTGATACCTAATGTTACAGCTTGTTCTTCCTTGTCTCTTTTTTAGGGAATGTTTTGGTTGCTCTTAAACACCGGATGTAGTGGGTCAATGAACAGAGGACAAGCTGAGAAAACATCATTGCAATGGCAAGCAGCAATGCAGCACCTTCCCCAAAATCTCTAATCTAAGGAAACATGCACTTACTCAACTGCAACAAAGCAATCTTGGTGGTTTTTTAAATCAGTGATAGTGACGTGGTCCAGCTTTCTCAGTGCCTGCTGAAAAAGACTTCTATTCTTTTATACCTTCAAGAGAGACCATAAGTCTGTCTTCCTCAGCAGGATTTAAGATCTTTCTGGACACTTCAGCCCTGCCCATACACACACCACAAGATGATTGACCTAAGCTTCCTAACAGAGGAGGAACAAGAGGCAATAATGAAGGTGCTGCAACGGGACGCAGAGCTTAAAAAAGCTGAAGAAGAGAGAGTCAGGTAAAAGAACATGGCACCCTGGGTTGGCCTGGGAAGACCTATACAACTGGCATACTGGCTTATATGGAGCATAGGAGTAGGAAAAAAATAGTTGTAGTAGAGTGTGTGTGATTCAGAGACTTCTACTCTAGATTAGATTTAGTGTAGTTCCTGGGTGAAATGCCCCTAACGCGCAAATGGTTCATTACTCTCCAGAAAGCTAATTGTTGATTGGGATGTTTATAACTCTGTATGGGCCAAGAACACTTGGTGTGCATCTGAACAGAATTTCTAGGTTGGTTTCCTTGGAAAGGAAAAGACTGCATGGGACCCTGGGCAGCCTGGTCTGGTATTAAATGTGGAGGTTGGTGGCCCTGCCTGTGGCAGGGGGGTTGGAGATTCATGATCTTTGAGGTCCCTTCCAACCCTGGCCACTCTGTGAAAGAACTCAATTTGCCTATGTATCAACTCTGAAACTGAACCGATGTATAATAAGCAGGAGTATTTGCTTCAAAAAATGCACAAGTGCCTCAAATAAACTAAAAAATCAATGTAGATGCAGCCAGCAACACGTCTGAGTGAGGAATTTGCACCTCAAATACATGGAGCATTGATGCTATAGTCCACAGGAGGTGCCAACATTATGCTCCTTTGCAAAAAGAAGTCCTTGCAAGCCTACGGCTAACGTAGAAAACTGCTCCGTGTTTTCTTTGTGGTGTCACAGATGGAGCAATGGGTTGTTTGGAATGTTGTACTGTGGAATGTTTTGTGTGCTGCGAGGTTTCCCTATGGCTACCATTAGGATAATCGCCGTGAATAAGGGATGTAAGTACTGAAAACAGCATTGCCTGCATTACTTGACTTTGAGAAAGTCATTTACACCAGTACAAATAGCAGTGCAGTAGTGGTTTCAGCTAATGCAGACAGCTAACTGCTCAACAGTGGGAATATTTTTTTTTCAGTCAGACTCAGTAACCAAAATGAGAAGAGGCCCAATAGCAAAAGAAGCGTTAGATGCTGAAATGTCCAAGTGCTGTAATGCAAACTGATGTTCATAGCACTTTGCTGAGGCTGGAGTTTTTCCTCGTTGATTGAGGGAAAAGAACAAAAACAAACAAAACCCAAACGTCTGGGGAAAGGAATCTTCCTGGGAAAAACAAATCCAAAAAGCCACTCTTAGTAGTGGTCTGAAAAAATGCTGTCAACAAGTATTTTTGTCTGTATGACTTTGCTTTTGCCGTTTGTAATTGTAGCTCAAGAGGGTGTGGTGGAAAATGCAAAGGACTGCAGGTTGAAGCAGCCTGTAATCAGCTTGTTCCTACAATAGAGTATCTCTTCTGGTTTCTGAATATTATAACTTCTGGAAGCTTACATCTGAAACTGATTTTTGGGCATAGATGGAGTTTACTTTTTAATACAGAGAGTGTTCTAGTATATAAAATATATAGATCTCCAGCCAAGGAGATGTAGTATTTTGAATTCTGCAGCATTCTTGCACGTCTGGAAGATTCCAGGAGCTGGGATGGAATGTCATTATGCAAATATCATACCATGACAAAGAGTAGTTTGTAGGTATGCATAATGGAAGTCTTTTAATATGGTCTTTTTCCCTCTAGAAAGAAATTCTGAGGTTTGAAGGGTGTTACAATTTGTTCCCTCTGTGGTGTCTGTTTGCTGCCTTTCTGGAGTGCTGACAAGCTGGTAACATGACAGAATCCTCTTTAAGCACCTTGTTAGTGGAATTTTACAGATCACCTGATGGAGTCCCTTCTCTGCTCACAGCCCCTGCTACTGTGTGTAGTAAAGCTGTCAATTAGACTTGTCCAACTAAGCATCCTCTTTAGGCTGTCTACTTTAAATCCTGCTTTGTTGAGTGCGTAATGGATCCATCCTCCATCCTGCAGCTCCTTTTGTGTTGGTCTGAATCAAGCCAATAGTTTCAGGAACAGCATGATTTTGGGAATAGCATGCCTGCTTCCTCTCTGAGATCTCTTCTGAAGGAAAGAGCACATTGATGTTTTCTTCTCATGTGCAAAAGTCACTTTTTATACAGGCAGGTAGAGACAGGACAAGGGGAAATGGCTTTAAACTGGAAGAGGGTGGATATGAGGAAGAAATTCCTGAAGTGAGGGTGGTGAGACACTGGAACAGGTTGTCCAGAGAGGTTGTGAATGCCTCTTTCCTGGAAGCATTCAAGGCTAGGCTGGATGAGCCTGTGAGTAACCTGGTCTAGAGGGAGATGTCCCTGACTATAGCAGGGGGTTGAAATTCAGTCATCTTAAAGGTCCCTTCCAACCCAAACCATTCTGTGATCCTGTGAAAAGGGTCATGAAGAAATCTCAGTTTACAAAAGGGTGTGATCTAGCAAAATCAATGGACAATTTATCCTCTTTCTTTCCCTTAGGACAAGAAGATCTCTCTCTTTGCTCCATTACCCCAAGAGTAGATGCTAGCCCCTGAATGGCACTGTTGCTGACAAAGGCAGAAATGGCATAAAACAGAAAAGCTGAATGATGGTTGATTTATTTATTGTCAGTATTCTTATTCCTAACCAGGAATTTCTGTTCCTGAGTTTGGGTATTGAACAAACGAATGTACCAAGCACATAACTGGATTTCCTGGTGGTAGCTTCAGCCCAGCCCCTAATGAATTCTCCTTATAGCTGTGTAGTTTGGAGCTCTGACTGAAGACAGTAACATAACGTGGAACAGAAATACGCCCGCCTGTGAAGTTTTGAACTGTGGTCGAGTGACTCTTCTGTGGCAGGATGGTGGGCCTCTGGCACCAGCGTGTCTGCGGCAGAAAGTTGTTGTGGCTGCCTTTGGGACACAGTCCTGCACAGCAGCTCTCAGCCGTTCCCTTCTCAGCAGAACTTCCTGGGAATGCTGCTGTGGGCTGTGTTTGGATCATTTGCTCCTTGTGTAAACAGAAGGAGGCTCGTGATAGGGAAATGTTGGTGTGGAATTGTTTGTGTGGTGGATGGTGACAGCTGTGTGCCAAACCCTTTTAATACACACATTGGCGTGGCACTGGGTATCACTGAGGCAGCTTCAGGGGCCTAATTTGTGTGTTACATACACTAATTTTTCTCATAACCATCAGTGGGTGTGGGTGGCTGTGGAACCCTTGTGCAAATAGGATTTTGACTGCTTTAACAGACATTCATTGAGTCACTTTGCAAGAAGTGTTCCTTATATTGTGGACAGTCGGAAGGAAGAGTTCTTTTTCATTTACTTATGCCTATTAGAGGATGGATTTTCTGTTAGATATAAGAATTCTGAAAGCATGCTTAACAGAGGCAAAGATGTTTTGAACGTGGGTATCATTTCATGTTTAAAGGGCTGACTGAAGAGTCCAGAAATGCTGTCTTACAGCTGCTGTCAAAGCTCATCTTTTGTTTCCTGAAAACATATTCCAAATATTCCAGAAGAATATCTGAGGGTTTTTTAATGCTAAGTCTTTGCAAAAATGTTCACCTCACCACTTTTTTTTCCCCTCTCTCTTTTTTCTTTTCCTTATAACTTTCTTTTCGTGTATATTTGGAACTATTTTATAGAAGTTTGCATATCTGTAAATTACTGGAAAAACAACATGTGGAAGAGGTGTGAGGTGTGTGGCTTACTGCTTACTCTACAGCACAGTGTATCTACATCCTCTCCAATTTGTTCTGATCAGTAAACAGATTGACACTTGGTATACTTGATTGAGGTTTCTTAGCCCATCATCCTTTTGATGCATAGTGAAGTTCTTGGAAAGCTTGCTTGGGTTCTAGATGAACACTGTCACCTATAAGTACCTCCAATTTCTCTAAGTTTGGACCCAAGGAACGGCTAGCAAAGAAGGGTATATGGAATTTAATTGGTGTGGTAGAAGAACCTGCTTAGGGAAAGTAGTGGGCACTAATAGGGATCTTTAACCTCTGAACAAAGCATTCCCTCCACAAGAATGAGTTTCCAACAGTACAAAAATTCTAAATCCCACTGCACTTTGTGCTTATGCCTGGACCTGTGTAGGTTTACTGTGTGCCAAACTAAAGTCTTTGTCTTCAGAGTGGATAGTCTTGTTACTGTGTCTGGTCTGAAATCTTAAAATGCAACCTATTCTTTAACACAGCATCAATTTCAATGATGTAGGTTCCTCTGCTCATTACAGTAGCTGTGTATACCCTGTGGTCTGTCATTTGATCGGGGCTGCTTTTATGCTTTATAGATCTGTTTTTAGAGCCTGTAATGTGGGTTTTGGGCAGATCCTCTGACAGAATGTGCGTCCTTTCTACCAGTCTCTCCTCTTGAGTTTGAATCATCTTGTACCGTTGTCTCAGGCTGACTAGTACCAACGATGCACTGTCACAGGGTAGCTGCTCCTTCGTTGTGAAGTGAGGTTTTTCCTCTATGGCCTTATTTGGGCTGTGTATGAAAAGGGAGGAGAGGCTATTTGGAGCTTCTGTGCAAACCCTTGAAACAAACAAGCAAGCCAAAGAGTGGAATGTTATAACAAATGAAAGAAGTGGAAGCTAACAGGATCTGTGAAGGCTGGCAGACCAGTCTTGCTGCAGCGGAATAAAGTTACATGAACTAAGAAATGCCCAAGCAAATTGACATTCTGTACATCTGCCCGGGGAGTATCTAATTACATGATTTATAACATGTAACGTGTTACATGTTATAAATCTTACTTTTAGCTTGACAGTGTGACCCTTCCAACCCAAGCCATTCTATGATTCTGTGATTCTATGCTCTTGCCTATGCAGAACATCCATATCCAGAGAGACCCCACAGGCAAGAATTAGAGGTGTTGCTGATGAGATACCATGATGACAGGGATGGGGAAAGGTTGTATAACCAAACAGGTTTGCTTTATTCTTTTTACTACAGCCCTCAACCAGCATAAAATTATATTGCACCTGTTACTTAAACCAATCACACAGTAATGGATTTTTGAAACTTGTGTATAGCCAATATGCACAAAGTAAAAAAAACCAAACGTATGCCTACTCAGGTCTGTCCATTATAAATGTTTTGGGTGTAGTTCTCAAACAAATGCCAGGGCAGACTTTTTTCCTGCACCTTATTGAGGCATGAGCAGACTGAAGTGGCACACTCGTGCAGAATGCAGTGTTTGCACAGTTTTCCTTTTGACTTGTAAATGTTTTATGGCTGTTTTGCACTCTTAAAGAAGAAGAAGAAAAAAGACTCATGGGTCTGACAAGTAAAGTGCCTTATCTAACATCCTTTCATTCCTGTTCTTGCCTAAATGGATTTACAAAAAGCATAAAAACATATTCTTTGACTGATCCAGAGTTTAAATCCCTTTTTTTTTTTTTTTTTTTTAAATTTTAATTTTTATTTTTTTAGCTGTGATCAGAGCAAATAGAAATGAGGACAAATTCCTGAGAAATCTCTCTCCTCCCCTCATGTGATATTTCCCTTGCAGGAGGAAGGCTTTTGAAGTGAGCTTATCGATAAGTTGGTGGTATCAGGCTCTAAAAAGTGTTTGTTTTGCCACAGTCAGTGGGTGCTTTTTTCACATCTTCAGAGCAGAGTGCACAAGACACTAACAATAATCAATAACATAGCTAAATAATAATTAAAACTAATAAAATCTTTCCTTGAGCCAAACACAAACTCTGATTTAAATGCTACCTACCTGGTCACAAGAAGTCTCCAACTCTCCTTCCAAAAAGCTCAGTTTAAGCTGCTGATTGAGGAATAAGGCAATAAAAAGTTATTAAGATGTCAGTTGTCCCTTCTTGCAAATTCTAGAATGCTTTGTAATTTGGGCTATGAGTAAGAGGATAAGGGGAAGGAATAAAGAATGCTGAGAAGGTCTAGCTGTACAGTATTAGATACAGGTATACATTACTAGATATATATATATATACATACACAAAATAAAAAAAGAAACTGCAGTCATCATCACTTTGCTTTAGGATGCAGTGAGCTCTCACACCAGCCTACAAAGTGGAAAGATAAACTATTGTGATTTGCTGATAGAAAGGTTGACGTGGACTGATTATATCAGAGAGCAGATTTCCTGCCTTGAAGGGGAGGTTAAGCCCACTGTCAGATGTTTCAGAGATAGAGACAAAAAACACATTTTATAGGTGATGTCTACACATCACCTTCGTACTTTGCAACTTTGACTGTCTGCAGAGTGCCCAAGAGTTGCTTTGCATGCAAGTTCAAGGTACTTCTGCATGTACTTAATACTCAGATTGGGGGGAAAATCTGTCTTTCCATCAAGGATATTTCATCTAGACCGAGCAGAAAAAGCCTATTAAGTGATGGGAGAAATCCAACCTCACTTTTAAAAGAGGAGTTTAGGATGAATTCTTTTTGACTTATGTACCTTCACTTTCTCCATTTTAAAGTTACTGTAGAAGTGACAGGCACTAGCTTTAGTATAACTTCAGGATTTCTCACTGAAAACTGCAACACAGGGTAACTGGCATTTTAAGAGACCACTGAGGGACTTCAGAACAAACACATATGTAGTGGAAAGTCATTACTGCATTTTTTCCTCATTGCAAATTTGGCAAACTGAGTCTGCAATCGTAATCTGGATGCCAACTTGTTTTTTGATCACCAAGAGAAAAATAAGGTAATGACAACTCGGTTAGTCTTTCTGTTGAGTGGGAAGCTGGCTTAAAATCAACTGTTTTAGTTCTGCTTTTAGTTCAGCTGTGGTGCTGGAAGTAAACGTAGCAGTGGAAAACCACAGCTGCAGTCTGACATCTGCACAATTCCTTTCTAGGTAAACCACAATCTAAATCTAATAAATAGCAATGAAATGGACCCCCACAGTACAATCAGTTTGATTTTTTTTTTTTTAAAACGCAGAAGTTTGCTCATAGCAGAGCTTGAGAACTCGAGCAACATCGTGAAAAGAGTAATTTGTAATCTCAGTAGTGCATTTTCGCAGCAGGTCTATGATGTGTTGGTGAACACAACTTCTCAGAAACTTCTTCCTGCCAAGAGCTAAAGCTACATGTTCTGATAATGCAAATCTGCCTCCTTATTTGTGGTAGATGAATAGATCTGATGTTTGTTGCTCTTAGTTTCTCAAGAGACTGTACTGATGATGAGAGGAGGACTAAGTCAATTGAACATAAATCCTTAAGCTATCAACTTGAGAAGACAAAGGAAGTAAATTCATAAGCTAGTTGTGATGAACTCCCATCAGATTTTTCAGAATACAAGCTCCGTACACTGGACACACAATTTATGAAGAAGGTACTGAGACCATGCTTATATTTGGAAGGCCTCTTGAGTTTGTGGAATTGAAGTATGCTGACCCCCATAGGTAGCAAGCTGATGCTCCCTTCCAACCAAACTAACATGGCATTGGCCACAGGTGACAAGTAATTAGAAGCTAACAAGCACATTCCTTGTGCAAACCAGCTACTTCTGTAGCTCTGTTGAGCTAACTTGTGAAGGTATCCTGCTGCACCCTAGTTTCTGTGACTGTATGCAAAGGAGAAAAGAGTGAGCAATGCCTGGAATAGAAAGGCTTAATCAGAGGGAAAGTACACTGAATGCTTCTCCTGTGACTCAGTACCTTCCCACCTGAGAACCTCCCTTGGCATGTGTTGTCAGACTGCCCTGAAGCACCAACTGGGGTCAGAGCTCTGCTGGCTTGCAGGCTAAGGAAACAGCTGAAAAGCCAGTCCCTAACCTGAAGGAGCATATGACTTGAGAAAGCAAATAATACATGGGAAAGAAGGTGAAAGGGAAAAGCGTTCATCTGTATGATAGCTCTTGCATGCCCTATTTCTGCTGCTCCTGCTGTCTTTATTCATTAATGGGCTGAGCAATGAGGAGCCGGCTCATAACTGGGAGTGTGTTTGCTTGACAACAGAGGGAAGCTACAGCTGTGTTCCTGCTCCAGCATGGAATATCTGCAGCTGATGGGAAGTAGGTATTTTGGCTCTGAGAAGCACAGAGTTGTAAGCAAGAGGGAGGGCCAAATTTTAAATCGTCTAGTAATGCTACGGACAGCTGAATCTTGGCATTCAAAAGGCCAGTGATGACCTTGGTTCCTGGCAACCTCAGCTGTATGTAGCTGATTCAAGATGAGAAGCAGTCTTACACTTGCTCAGGAGGAACTATATAAACCTTATAATTTCCTGCCATACTAATATGAAGGAGGAGTAGAGCGATAGGTGAGGATGGTCTGTTTTAACATGAGGGTTGGAATTGGCTCATAGTATCCTTTTTCTATTGTGAATGATTATTCTTTGCAGTCAAATCTGCAACCTCTAATAAAAGGGCTGTGATTGTAGCTGCATGACTGGGCAAGAAGATTCTCCTAACTCACGAGCAGTATAAAATTGGCATTGACCTTAGCTGTTGGGCCAAGATGGAAGATGTCACCGTCCTATAGCAGTGTGTAACAGCTTTAGCCTTAATGTCTCTGAGTAATGTGTAGACTGCTTTGCTTTCTCTGGAGAAAAGGAGACTGAGGAAGACCTTATTGCTCTCTTTCAATATCTGAAAGGTGTTACAGAGAGAGCAGGGTTGGTCTTTTCTCACTGGTGACAGGATGAGGGGAAATGGCCTCAAGTTGCACAGTGGTAAGTTTAGGTTGGATATCAGGAAAAGCTTCTTTACAGAAAGGGTTGTTAAGCCCTGGAGTAGGCTCCCCAGGGAGGTGGTAGAGTCACCATCCCTGGATGTGTTTTAAAACCGCTGGGATGTTATGCTCAGGGACATAATTTAGCAGAGGGCTGTTAGAGTTAGAGTAGCATGGTTAGGTCATGATACTAAGGCTCATACTAGACTTGATGATCTTTAAGGTCTTTTCAAACCTGAGTGATTCTATGATTCTTTGATTCTCCCTTTGGCTGTGTTTTCAGGTTGTTTACAGAATCATGAATGGAGAAGGTAGATTAATTCTGATTTTTTTTTTCTTTTTTTCTTTTAAGTACTTTCTAAATCTGTGTAGTAACTTTCCTGGTCTGCAGTTAGTCTCCATGCCATGTATAAGGCGTGTGCTTAGTGTGTTATATGCCTAAGAAGGAAAGAAAACAATCTCAAATTGTTCACAACTCCTTATTCTGCTAAGGCATGACTCATGCAAGCAGGGTAACACTGCTGCCTTTCACTGTAAGGAAGGCATTCCTTGCATTTGTATAAGAATTTATTGAAAAATGGTAGCGTGTGTCCAGTGTAGTTCTGGAGAGCGTGTATAGAGGTAGTACCACATGAACAGCTTTCAAAGGCATCTTCTGAGCCTCAGAACAGCCCTGGACTTGATTTTGGCACAGATTTCCTGTGCTGCCCTGATAGCTTATCTCAGCCTTAACTTTGGGAAAACTGGCCTTTGGAGGCATGAAGTCAAGGTCTGCCATTACTGGGCATACTTGGCTTGCAAGATGATCAGAGCAAGAATCTTTTTGAAGCTACTTCTACTGATCCTCTGAGGGTAACAAGGATAAAGGTCATCTGCCTTAATAAAATAAGGGAAATAACAGGTTAGAAGATGGAAATAGCATGCTGAGACAGCTTCTTCTGACACACTACAGCTCTAAGCACTTCCAGAGTAAAACACTCTGGAAAAAAACAAAAAAAACCATCCAGGCTGTAAGAAATGTCAGCATTCAGAGGACAATAAAGCAAATTACAGAGTAGAAAAGAAGAAGGTACACACTTAGTGTAGCCATAAGAGCATTTGGTTTCACGTTTGCAAAGAAGCTGTATCTTGCTTGTCTTTATAGTTCAGATAAGTGTTCAAGTAGTTTCTGAAGTTAAATTTGTGTAAGAATAACACTCTGTTGCATTTATATATTATATATATTGCAGGGAAGTCTGCCTTTGTGGCAGATCACTGAGCATCTGTTACCAATGCATTCAGGCTTTCCGTTTTCTTTGTGCTTTGGGGCATAATACATAATAAATGCTGTGGTTATATCTAAAGAATTTGATTATTATGCAGTTTGATTTCTGCAACAGGTGTTTTGCTGTGTCTGTTAAACAACAGAAAGATAAAGCAGCAGAAAAAAATAGTAGCTTTTATTTCTTAGTACTTTCTGCCACATTCTTTGCTGTAACTCTTGTCTTGCATTCAGTATTTGTGGGAACCTGTATATTTACACCACATTTAGCATTTTACTTCACTTACTTTTATTCTGCCCATTGCAAGTAAGTAAAGTGTGAATGTCTCTCATTTATTTATTTATTTATTTCCCTCAGGCACTTACCAGAAAAAGTCAAAGATGATGTTCAGCTGAAGAATATGAGTGGGCAATGGTTTTATGAAGCAAAGTCAAAAAGGCATAGAGATAAGATCCACGGAGCAGATATTATTAGAGCTTCCATGAGAAGGAAGCCTGCTACTCTTGGTAAGCATTTAGCTCATGTTTTATTTTGGAAAGGCTGGTATGGAGGCAATACTCTTACAGCAATGTCAGAAGTTAAGTAGGTGAAACGCAAGAAGAGTATGTTAGTCTTATGAACAGGAAATTATTCATAAGAAGGTTTTTATATGTAATTTAGAGTGTTGGTTTCCCTCTCTCCAAGAAGAGCCTGGCTTTACACCCACCCTTTAGGTATTTATGGATGTTGATAAGGTTCCCTCAAGCTATCTCTTCTCTAGGCTTAAAATGTCCCAGCTTTCTCAGTCTTTCCCAAGAGGAGGGATGTTCCAGTCCCTTAGTCATCTTCCTGGCTCCTATTGGAGTAGGACACAGTATGGAC